GGGTGAAACAAATTTTAAATTACAAAGTTGCTGAAAGCAGTTTTCCCCAAGTCCAATTACTATATACTTCCTCCTCGAGCTGCCTTTTAACTTTATATACACTTTGATTGCGAACGAAACACAATATATATATCGCACGCACAATTCCTTCCTATGATTATTCCGAATTTTCGTGTTAAGTGGCACAAAAAACCGATGGATCCAACAACCTAACTCTCTCCTTTCCGCTCGCAAGTTTAATTATCATTATTCCGGCCCTCGCTCGAGTGTCGTTCTCATCGTGGCAGTTTCCACCCCCTTCGCGAACTCAGACCGGAAGTGCGAGCGACGCGAACGAGGGCGGTCGAAGTCTTTAGCCCTCTCTCTCTCTCTCTTAACCCTGTTAGTTCTCCCATTGTCGGGCGAGAGCTGGAAGTTCGCGGACGGTCGGACGATCGGGAATTTCCGCGAGGGATCGTTACAAAACTTTTAACGGCTTCGAGACCCACTCGAGCACGGCGCCGAGGCTTTTCGCAAGTTTCGCGTTACCGCGGCCCCCAACATGCGTTGTCGGGGGGCCGCGCATGCCAACTTTCGAAGAACAAAATCAATTATGGAACGCCCGTTTTTATGCTTCGCGAAGGAGGTAGAACGAGCGGGCGGAGAGAGAGAGAAAGAACGAAAGGAACAAGGAGGGGCACGCCGTGATTATCGGGCTAAAGTTGCAAACTAAAGTAATTCGCCCTTGGCGCCCCGAACGTATTCGGGATTACCGGAGGATTATGTGCGGCTGGTTTTATTTTTCTCCGCCGCGAAATAATGGACTAGGACCGGGCAAATGCACTCTTACTCATCTCCCTGTCTCTCTCCCCTTCGGCTTTATCAGTCTTCTACTTCTTTCTCTTTTCACACACGAATTATCTCGCGGCGTCTTGCTCTCGCATTCTTATCCAGACACGTCGCTTCAAATATTTTTCACTTTTCCTTCAATTATATGTACTTCTAAGTGTCTCGCTTTTAGGACTTTTTTTTGAAATTATATTTTTTTTAATGAATAAATTACTTTGGCAGAATTTAAGTGTATTAAATTTAGAATTTAAATGATGTATAATAAAAAAAAATTGTACAAGTAATAATTTGTCAAAATTTAAGATTATATTATTATAGTTTGTTAAATATATTAAGATTATTAATTTTGTTGTTAATTATATTAGTGGGGGTAGCTTTTTTAACTTTATTGGAACGAAAAATTTTAAGATATATTCAAATTCGTAAAGGGCCTAATAAAGTAGGATATATAGGATTATTTCAACCTTTTAGTGATGCTATTAAATTACTTAATAAAGAATTATTTTATGTGTAATAAATCTAATTATAATTTTTTTTATTTATGTCCTATAATTAGATTTGTTTTAATAATAATAATGTGATTAGTATTTCCTTATATTACTAATATTTATTTTTTAAATTGTGTCTCGCTTGGTATAAAAAAAATGTCTAAATATCCTAGTGAACTCAAATTGAGCAATTTCATGATATTTTTTTAATTTCGAAAAAGAATAAAAATTTGGAATATAATCCCGAGTTCTGATTAACAGAATTCAGAGGCTTCCTCTGATGAACTTTATATCGCGAGGCACGCTGGTGATTCTCGTTAGCGCGCCTCGTCGCGCCGCAAAAAGCAAGTGGAGTAGTGAAATCACTCATGTAGTCCCGCGACGCGTTTCATTCACCGCCGGGCAGAAATGGCCGCGCGAGCCGCCGGCTCATTAATAATAACTTATCCACGCGCGCGAGCGCGTTCGTGCCCTCCTGCGTTTCATTAATTTCGCGCGGGAGACCTCGTTAGAGCGAGAGACGCGCGGGCGAGATAATGGATCCCCGGGTCACCCCGTCGTTGTCGTCCCCGGTGCGCGCGATCGCGAATCTGCTTTCTTTTTTCTCGATTCGACCGGAGATTCGTTCGACCGGGCAAAAACCTAAGTGCAACCGCTTATACAGAGGAGTGCCCTCTCGATGCGCGCAGGACGAAAAAGGGAGACGATGAGTCGTGCCGACAGCGGACACGCTGGCGTGTTTTTAACGATAATTTCTCTTATCTCCCGCCAGCACATGCTGTCCGCAACATTCGCAACGGGGATCGCATGTATCCGGCGGTAAATTGACCGAGCCCAAAGACAGTCGCGCAGATTGTGGACGCGGGCTCATTAAAGGCTTTCACATCTCGCGCGCGATCGTACTGATACACAGCATATCTCGCTAAATTAGCATGACAGATACGATGAAAGATTTTAAATCGGTATTCGGTTGATGAAATGATGAAAAGCGTGAAAAAATATTATCGTTACTAGTCAATGAATTTTCACAAAATATACTAACATTATTTTTTAGAAGCTATGTATATGCATATGTAAGAGAAATTCGAGTTGTTTTATACAAGGCGATATAGAATACTCTCCGATTTGCATTTCAAGCATTCGACATTTATGTTATGACAGATCCGATTACCGGAGGACGATTATTGACCTACAAGAGCATTCGCGATGCGTTATAAAATGGATCGTCTAAGTACACGGAATTACTGTAACGCGGTGCTAATTATCATTGACGTGCGCAAGACTCGGGCACGCTTCGAAAGAAGTGTGGCTGCTGTGTTACTAGACAGTTATTAACTGCGTTCGACAGTGTATACCACTCAACGTTCCCCTTATGGTTGCGTTTCCTCTGAAATTATGCGCCGACATTGGTGTAGCCTCGACTTTGGCGAATGCGCGATTTATCACAAGAGTTTCATTTAAAAATATTTCGTTACAGAATATTATTGGCTAATTTGTTCTCTCAAAAATTTCGCAAGCTGCGAAATAGAAAAAAAAAATCACCATTTATTTTAAACAACTAGAGTTTCTCGCGTTATTAAAATCGAGAGATTAATTATTAGTATATATCATTATTCATTGCTTATAGTACGACTAATTTGACAGAGTAAAAAATGAGAAAATCCAAATTAAATTAGTAGGAATTATAATTGACAATACGTTTCCTACGCCACGCTGCCAAACAGTTGCGAAAGCACAACAGACATTTAACAGATGTTTGAAATATTAGACAGAGTCTTTTAAACGTCTCCATCTCGGCCGCATCCTTTGGACGCATGTCTGAGTTGTCGGACGACAAATGTGATAGCACCCTTGTCCGATATCTCGACGGACGTACGCCACTGCACGACGATAGCGCGAACACAAACGGATCTCTGTCCGTGCCTATCCATAATACATGGTTCGAGCTATACGATCTCTTGTTTTTGTCACTGCCGACTCGACAGTGGTGCATAAAAAAAACAAGAAGATCCTTCGGTAGCGTTATCCCCTTAATCTCCTTCTCTTCTGTCTCGTCTTACACCCGTGTCATCCGGGTGAAAAAAAAGCGAATCCTTTCACAGTATTCTTGTATAACGACGCAGACATCGACGCATCGATACTTGTTCCGTTATAGAAGCGACCATTCCCGTCCCTATCTCGTTCTGCGCGACTTCGATCACCGCTCGGTAACGGGAGAACCATGTTGTGATAGCACCCCCGCAGCACGTTCGCTCCGCTGTAAGTTACTCGGGAGTGAACACCCCTGGGGTCGGCAAACGATGCGTAACTAACCTCACGCACGCTTAACGCATTGACGTGACCGCACACTGCCTCCATTCATAACCCGTGCACACGTTATCCTCGTCCTCGTCGTCGTCGTCGTCGTCGTCCAGTGCGCGCGATCGCTCTTTTCTCAGCATCTCGAGAGCGACAATGTACATCAAAGTCGACAGAAATAGATAAATGCAAACACTTTTTTTATATTTCAACCTTTATATTTTTTATATTTCACTTTTTTATATTTCTTTTTTTATATTAATTATTAGAAGTCCTATAATACATGTGTAGTGTAAAAAATGTGATTCAATCGATCAAGCTTCTTGCCTCGAAAAATTGATGTAAGAGAAATTTATGTTTAATCCATAAATTTTATAAATCAAAATCACAATATATGAAAAATTATCTCCCCTTTTATCAAAATGTACTGCATTAACATAACGCCAATCTGACAGTTGTTCTTCATCGAACTGTCAGTCGTGACAGGAAGAGACCACGTGGTCTTAGAGAAATTGATCCCCGATTTTTTTTTCTCGTTAGCTTTCGTGGAAAGGGATTCACGTCGATGAGAGAGAGAGAGAGAGTTGCGGGATTTTCGTGGTCGAGTATTTCCTGGGGGACCTGCACTCTGTCAAGGCGAGTTTATCCGCAGAGTGACGGGCCTCGCCCACGGTCTGTTTACACCGTAAAACTGACGGAGGCATGCGATCGAATAGCGGGTTATATTAGGTGCTACGAAGTGGGTCGGTCACGTGCTACTCGCGGACGTCAGGACGCGAATATACACATCGTCGGATCGAAAAGTGCTGTCTTCTTTTCGCGCTACGTTAAAATATTTGGAGGGCAAAAACAAATAGAACTGCGAATCAACATCTCACCGAAAGCTATACGCTTTTTTAAACTCTCTCTCGATGTTGAAAATAGTGTGTCGTTAATATGAATAAAACGTAGATTTAAAATATGCATATTCAAATTATCTCTTCTCTTAATTGTACGATATTCTCTTCTCTTAATTTTATGTAGATATTCTTATGCATATCAGAAATCAGACATGGTAAACAATTGTCAAGTGCAATATGAAAATAGACTGATTTGTGATGTACATAAAAAAATATCTATATAAAATGAAGATAACGAGATTTGAATTCTTTTAAAATTCTATAACATCGCTCATTAATAGTTGAAATTGTAGTGTTTGTAAATCGCATGGAAAGAAAAAGTTTTATATCAACGCGTTTGATATTCACGCATTTGCTGCAAGTGCGTCGCAAGATTCCAATGACACAGATATCATTATCTATCACGAAAGACAAGCGTATATACATCGATTCATTCGGTTTTCGTAACACACGAGAGATGACAGCCGGCGAACCAAGATGAATCTTCACGACATGTACCGGGGATTATCGTGGTTATCGCGACAAACACGGACATAATGTTTTCTACGCGGACTCCGAGAAGTGTCGAAGAGGCAATAATAATTAATGTTGAACGATATGAGCGTTCACATCGAGTGACACAGACTGATCGATGTCATAGGCCGGTTGTCTTGAGCGATAACCCCTTTCCGTGACATCGGGCCGCGCGTTATCATTTCCACGAATGCCTGCTGCACACACCGAATTCTTTTCCTCGGATCGGACTTTCTACGCGAGCGAGAAGATACGCGCCTGATTTCTCTTCGTCCCTCACGTGTATCTCTCAGCCACGCAAATTCCGCCGACGTTCACTATCAATTTCTATAACGGCGAAGCTCACTCTCGACTCTTTATATTTCATGCACACGTTATTCTCCGTAAGATCTCGGCGTCGACTCTTCCTCGAACGTGTTTTCGCTCCGTTAGAAGTCTCCGATATCCTTAGCAATTAGAATAACGACAGTGACGACGTCAACTGATAACTATTTTATCTTCTACGAGAAAAGTACTTGTGTTCAGATTGATAGGAATGTGAAAAATTTGATTTTTATAATTTGCTTGGAATATGTACACATTATTAGATATTTGAAAAAATAATAAATATTATATTAAAAATGAACTTTTCATTAAGCGAATAAATTCTGGTTTTCAGCGGCTAAAATGGAATATAGGATGGTATGTGTACGTCGCAATGCAGCGTGTTTGTGTTCTACGACCGTCGGCATCTTATTATTTGGCATCATTCTTCGAGAAATGAGGGGAGAGACGCCTCTGGATCTTAATTCATTGCGGTACATATTCCGCGGTCCTCGTTATTGGATTCCTCCTGATAATTCTGCCTTAAATCATCTCGACGCTGGAGAACGCCGGATTGGAAAGGGGCCTCTAATTTCGCGCTGAGTCTCTACGGGGTCGTGGATTATGCAGGAACCGGCAAAGGGTTGATCCTCGAGGGACGCGTGCGTCGACGTGACACTACTTGGCCTCTCCGCTAATAGAATACCGCCTTCGGGTAAACGGTTGTTTGAAACATTCCGGAATACCGGTCAGCCAATTACCAGTTCCCCGAGACTGATTATTCCATTTTGGATGCATAGATTTTTCTTGCGAGACACGAGATAAATCGAGAAATACATATCTAAATATATTTCTTATGATTTTATTTATTTTTGGAATTTGTGCTTTTCATCGTTAAGCATGTTTTGTAATTTGATTAAATATGGACAGATTATAAATAGTGAAACGTATATACATATATAATATATGCATATATAAAATATTTTATGTATAGGTATACATAAAATTATTTTACATAATAATATAAATAAATTAATTTAAATAACAAAAATAATATTACAATTGATATAAAAATATATTTTATATACATATACACACATGTATATATATATTCTACCGTGTCCATAATCTGGCACATTCAATCAAGTCGTAAAGTATGGTCGGCGGTTAAAAGCAAATCCAAGTTGAAATAAGATTCGAACACGCTGTGGCAAGATCGAGAGTTAATAATCCCGGGGTCTCCGATGATCGGAGAGTTCCCCGGTGCGCCTCGATACGAGGAGGCAGTCACTTTTACCCACGGACCTTTCCATCTTCCAACGTGGACATCTCGCGAGTATCGAGCAAGTACCAGCGCCGAAGTTGTTATGACAGTCAGCGGCGGACCATCCATCACCGAGATTCGGTCTCGGCAGGCCGACCGCGAGCAACTTATCCAATATTTAACGTTTTGTCCCTCGCGGGGCCAGCTGATATATCACTCGCATTAATATATATTTGCGGGGGAGATAACTTCGGTTAGAGAGAGCCTCGTCGTGGCCGAGCGAAATAAAGGCGGGAGAATAAGACATATAAATGTCGACGGAGATTTTCGCAGTCACCTCGTGGAATAGATACGACTATTTATCGCGAAATATTGTCAGGGAGAGAGAATGGGAAAGAGCGAACGCGCTCCGTTTCTTCGTTTTCGAGACGATCGATATCTTCGCTGCTCGCGCGCTCGAGAATTAGGAGAGTTCGAGAGTCCTCGCGGAAAATGTCAGATCCGCCCGTGATAAGCCCGCAATAGCTTTTTCAGGGCTTAAGAAGTCGTTGCTGATAACGCGGCTGTTTCGCAGAATTATTCGCTAATACAAAGTTTCTTATGCACGGTACGCTGCTCGCGGAGGCCGCGGCCCGAAAAGCTTGATGTCAATCTGCAAGAGCCGCGTACTTCCAAACGTGTAATTACGGAACCGTTTCTCGGCGTCCCGCTTTATTTCTCGCATAGCACTTCGTTTCGCGCTCTTATCTACCGCGCGAAATCTCCTCGCTAGAGTTACGGATGGATACGACTAGCGACTTGCACGATTTTTGGCTAAAAATCGCACGAGATAAATCCGCGCATATTCAGTTCCAAGCGAGCGCGTATAAAATTGTGTTTGTTTAATCACCAGCAGCGCCTTCTTTCAATCTCTTATCTCAGAGGTGCGCGCAATATGTACTTTTGTCAATTCAACATAATAAAGCGACACGAAAGTGTTTTATATAGTTCAATATGCACATTCAATATTTTATTTTATTCTGGCATTATTATAATACGTAGTTGCTCTTATTGATCTTACTTCATTTTACTTGATTAATTCTTTTATAAATATATTTGATAATGATTTATGTATTGAAACTTATGCTCATCGAAATGATACAATGACGAAAAATAATTTTGTTCGAAATAAAAAAAAAAAACCTCGAAATACAATGTATGTACGTGAACTTGATCGAAGGAACTTTGAACGAACTCGGGGGCCACTCCAAGTTCTTGCTAATTACAACAGCGTTACTGTGAGAGTGGCATTCAATATTTTATTTTATTCTGGCATTATTAATACATAGTTGCTCTTATTGATCTTACTTAATTTTACTTGATTAATTCCTTTTATAAATATATTTGATAATGATTTATGTATTGAAACTTATGCTCATCGAAATGATACAATGACGAAAAATAATTTTGTTCGAAATAAAAAAAAAAAATTTCGAAATACAATGTATGTACGTGAACTTGATCGAAGGAACTTTGAACGAACTCGGGGGCCACTCCAAGTTCTTGCTAATTACAACCGCGTTACTGTGAGTGTGGCACGAGCGTCCGACACGACGTCCTCATCCATCTTAGTAAATTCCTCGCTGCGACCGTCGCGGCGGACTCCAATCTGGCGTCAAGGATACCGTCTGTATGTGATTTTCGCGAGACTTAATATAATTACAAATGCCGCAATACCGGCTTGTTTTAATGCGAAATTGTAGGCAACAAAGAAACTTCGACTCCGACTTCTGGTCAAACTTTTTAGTCTCGTAAAAAATAATCTGTACTACAATGTATATATATACATAAACAAATTAATTAAACGCAAATCAGAAAAATGCATAAAAAGTAAAATATGCATGATCATAAAATATTAAATGAGTTCTAACTTTGTTAATTTATCACTACAACAATATAATTTTATTTTATTAAATTAATTAATTAATAAGCCCTACGTTTAAACATGTATACACCCAGTTATCTTTTTGACGAATCTTTAGATTGATTAACCGAGGATAATAAAGAAATACGATGTCTTGAAAATCCCGAGATTCGAATAGCGATGCTTTAAAACGCAGTATACTGTCCAATTGGTTTGAAATCACCACGGCATCGAGAAACGATCGCGGCTAGCCAAATGAACGCTGCCCCCGATCCAATTACGTCGTTCGTGAAACGTTAAAACGCCCGTGGCTCGCGTGACACGGCGCTTCCGCGCGTGGGGCCCTACATGTTCCTTCCTGCGCAGTCGAGAAGTGCAATCTCATCGGAGCGGCCGGGAAAGATTCGCGCGTTTCGCGGTCGGAATACCGAGAGGCCTTAGAGAGATCGAAACGCTTTTTTTTTCTCGCACCGCTCGATCGATCTTCCCTTTTTCCCGCGAATGCTCCGGGACTCTGTCGACGTAACCTCGTTAAGGTCGAGGTCGAAAAGAGCTTGGCTGAGGGTTAACGCTAACGCTAAAACGCGGCGCATACAAACGGGCGCTAATGACGCGGATAGCTTTTGTTGTTTTTAATTAACCCTTTCTTTTAAGACGACCGGGGGGAACGGTAAAACCGTCGAAAGGGGAACCGCCTTCGTCCCTAAAACCCGGGCCCCTTTTCTGCCTGCCTTATATATCCCTTTCTCCGCGGCCCTTTCCAGTCGTCCCGCGGGGGATGTAAATATGCGGAGAATTGCACCTCGGAGACAGGCGAGCTTTTCTCGTTTACGAGCTACGACGAGCAGCGCCTGCAATTAAACCTTCATCTAATTACCCCCGCGACCTGCCCGGCTAATTGCCGACAGACCCGCGGGATCGACTGGAAAGCGATGCTACCTGTTTGCAAAACTTTTCTTCCGTTGATGAGAAGCTCTCCTTGGATACGCTTTGGCTTTAAGCACGGTGGCTTTGTAATTTCCCCGGGCGTAATTTGAATACGACGTTGTATCGAGAAATATATATATATATATATATATATATATATATATATATACGCGCGTACGCATTTTATTACCCTACTTCGCGTATTAAAAGTGATTGCGGTGAAAATATTAAATCTATATAATTATTATGTGCGTATTTCGTTCGTAATTATGTGCCTCTTCGAGAGGAAAAAAGTCCATTTATAATATATGTGTATAATGAAAGGAGGAAATTATTATCGTAAAGGTAATATACGAAAGCTGTTATAAAACCAGAAAAGTTAGACTTTCAATAACGCGACGACGTTCGCCGGACAAGTCGGTGTGCAAACTTAAGGGGACAAAGTGGCGCGACGGACGTCGGCGCTTTGTCGCGGTCACGGCGCTGTCAATCACCGGTGATAGGAGGCGACACATTAATCTCAACGGGGACCCCGTTGACCGCACATCCTCCTCTCTTCCTTTGCGGTCAAATAGTCGCCACAATCCTGTCTGCCGCTTAGCAGCCGCACGGTCGTCTTCTTTTTTTTTTTTTCGTTCTCCTCCACTAACAATACACTTTGTTTCAAAAATTACGAAACGACTAAAAAAAAATACACAAAAGGATTCATGATTGTCTCGAGCCTTTGCAGAGTATCTCCCGAGAGTATTTCGGTTTAAAATTCCTTGAACAAACTTAATAAATTTTTGAGGAAATTTCATCCTTTAAATTTTAGTGAAACTATTATCATAAACATTTCTAATTTTTGTTTCTTTCTCTCGTTTCAAATAATTACGAGTTAATTTTGTTCGTTTACTTTCTCGATTCCTTTTGAGAAAGGAGAATCTATGCTTGACAGGCCGATCACGAACAGCGACGCTTGCGAAAACTGACCGCGGCTGACAAATGCGTAAGAAGGAGCAGTCGGACGTCTTTACGGATGAAAAACGGAGGTCGGGGTTATCCGCGTTATTAAGTGGAACGTTTCTCGGAAGAATGACGCCATTTGTTTGCTCCGATATCACGGAGACTAATCCGCGTTCCGCTAGGCTGAGCCAGATGCGAGAAAGGTGTTGCCTATCCATTTTTCAAACTTGTGATAACAAACATATATGCAATTCACACGATTTAATGCAATATATTATACATATTAACAAATATATTTTTCATCCAAAGAGCACGAACCAAGTTGCAAAAATATTGCGAGATTCATAAATACTTAATAAATCAAGTCCACATTCTTGAATTATGACGCGTTGCAAAAATCATAAATCTCTCGTTCAACTTTATCAACGTTACTTAATTTAGTTCACTTTGCTCCCTTGTCGCGCTTCCCGATTTTAATTGCAGAAAAAGAGTTAATCGATTTAAGCTAAGGATAAAGTTAACTGACAACGGTGATAAAGTTGGCGAAACCGGTCATTAGGCAAATGGGATTCCGAGTCACACTTGGCATTGAACGTGGCGTCAAGTGGAGCCTAGGTAAGAATAAGGCCCAAGTATACTTGCGAATGCGCGACAGGAAGACGGAAACCACTCTCTCGATGCTCGTATTCGTTCAACGGCGCATTATCTCGCGCGCTCGAATTTCAGGGCAAACCGCCAGCAGCTCTTGCAAAAGGTGGGAGTAAAACTCGAAGAGAAGATTTATCGGTCTCGCGTCGGAGACGCGTCGTCCTCGTCGT